AACTAAAAACAACAATTTCAGTTTGACTTGCTCTACAGGTAAGGTAATTGGAGAGATGCAAGGGCATAAGATAGTGGAGAGATTCCAAAATGGGACCAATGGCCTGTATATGGGAAGTTTATGGTATACACCCCTCGTATAGACAGAGTGATTCCACTTTCTCTCAAAACAGACTTGGCCAGCTGAGATCGCTGTCAATGATTGAAAGGCTTTGCTGTTATTACAAAGAAATTAAAAAAAAGATAAAATCCTGACCACTGAGCACTGAAAATGAATGATACTAGAGTCTGGACACCAGCTCTGTTAACAAATGTCATCTGTGTTCTATTAATGTTCTAGCAGATTGCATCCCATCACATTCAGTAGTGGCAATGACACCCTGAGTAAGTCCAGCAGCATTTTTACACCACCACTCTGAGCCAAGCCCACAGAGACAATCTCTCTGGGTGTCGGATTAAATATTTCCCCTCAAACTGGGACAGTAGGTCTTTGTGGAGGGGCAATGGTGGTCTGCGTAGGAGCAGGAAGTTGTCTGCCAAACACAAGATGCGGCTGGATTAACCATTTTTCTTCTCGTATTTTTTCTTCATGGAGGTGACCACTACCAAAAGAGACAATGAGAAATTACAAAAGTGTCAAGGAGCTTCTCCTTTTCTTTTGTCATCAGGTTGGTGACGCAAAACCAGAGATCTGAAAATGTAATGCTGGGAACATGTGTCTGGTGACCGAGTTGTCCACATGATTGGTAGACATGGCAGCTTGCTCCAGTAAAACAGTTGTGGTCAAGATTCTGTAAGAAGTGGAATGGCAGCTGACCTTATGTTAGCCCTATTTTTAGGGTGAGGTCCAGGTCTTTCCTGACAAAGATGTCACTTAGGGCTGATGTATTTCTATTTGAGCTTCTGATGACGTCGCATAGATGTTACCCATAGTGAGACATAAACTATGTATGACAATTGCTCTGTTCCTGTGTCTTATAGCTGCCCCTCCTCTGGTGATGTTTTTGTTCCATTTCCTGTTGTACCAAGCTTCAGTCAGCCTCCTGATGCTACACAGACCTTCAGTCTCATTGGTCGAAACTTCCATCAGTGGCACTGCTGCACAGAGCAAGGTATGTCCTGACTGGCTGGTTGGTAGTTGTTACTTCCTGTCTGAAAACAGAAGATCTGTTTACCCTCTTTAAACTTCCCCCAAACATCATCTCAACTAACCAGTCCTAAGTCTGACTCCCACAGTGCTTTTTAACAGTGGAAGGATTTAAAATGTTAATCATGTTTAAATATGTAGAAGAAATTAATTCTCTCAGTGTGGGTAGACGATCAGGTGCTTTAGTAAGAGCGAGGAATTCTGGGGATGAGCTACAAGCTTAATGTTGAGCATGATGGTATCAGAAAAATGTTTTTTGAGAGAAAATTTGTATGTCTTAATTGTTGTAAAGAAGCATAAAGAAAGGTTTTTATACCTAACCAAACCCATAGAGAGAACGTGTTATCCAATAAGGATGGAGGACAAATATGACTCCCTGCTAGCAAAGCTCCAACAGAGTGTTGTGCAATCAAAATGACTTGTAAACTGAATGCAGATTTGAGGACAGGCAGCAACTATCACACTCAGTGGAGCTAGAGGAGTGAAGAGGTGAGGATAGTAAAGCTTTTAATGCTACCAGATGAGCAGAATTTACACAGAATCACCCTAGATGGGGATTTATTATTGGGATACTGAACTCAATAATTCAGGGGGTTATTTACGGGTCATTCACACATTTAATTTTCATGAGTGTATAAACAATTTGCTAGGGGAGGGGTCAAGGGGTCAAGGACTGATGTAAACTTGTCAGAATGAAAAAAAAATGACCAGTTTTTTTATACGCCCTGAGTGACCGATTTGTTGCTGTTCTCCTGCACACAGACGTTCAAAAGACAGTTCCTTGAAATGGCTGCACAGACCTGTCCTTCCTCTAACGATGAATAAATCACAAGTGAAGCAGCCACGTCCCGCTCAGATGTGAGCTGTCAGAAATTAATCTGATCGAGCACATTAGATGCATTAAACGTGTGACAGACATCTTGTTTCATTCACTATTTATAACTAATTCAATGTTTCCCCTAGATAACTTGCTATGGCGGGGCGCTCATCTCATCTGTGATTTTTGTCGGACAACTGGGAGACACGCCCTGAGCTGCGCAGCGCACTGTTAAAACCAACAGTTTTTTGGGGGGGGGACAGAGATACAGCCGCACGCTGTTTGCACCGACAGTTTTAGAACAGGGTGGCGGAGAGGAGATAGCCGGAGTCACATCTCAGCCACGCACTGTCTGTACCGACAGTTTTATATACTTTTTTTTTTTTTTGGGGGG